ATAAATGCAGTTCACCTCGCCCATCCGAGTCGAGAACTAGATCCGCCGGCATTCGGCGAGCTGTCCAAACCCACTCGAGTACTGGGCACCCATCATCCCACTTCTCGTGATATGAATGGAGAGAGGGCACAATATTCCAAACCCGTCGAATAGCCGCTCACAGCACGAAGATCTGACAGACGCCTGGTCAACCTGCGCCCCCATAAATGCAGTTCACCTTGCATGTCCCAGTCAAGGTCTGGATTCGCCGGCATTCGGCAAGCTGGCCAAATGCACTCGAGTGTTAGGCGGTAGCTGTCTGACATACGAGAAAGGGGCCTTTTCACTCTTACGTAACATGATGTGAAACACGACCTCTCGAATGACCGCTCATAGTACAGGTGAGCAGCAAGATACCTCTCAACAGTACATGGTCACATCCCATGATTCAAGGAGCAACCAAGCCGTCTCCCCTCTATTTAAGAGCTTCTTCCAGCCATAGTAAAGAGGTTCGAAGGTGGGAGAGCATTCAGCATAGAACGGTGCGACGTTCAACAGTTCGCCCATAAGTTAATTGATTAATCCAATCAGTTAACCGAACCACTAGCTCTCGACTCCCGATCGGGTCAACGGTAAGCTTTTTGCATAACCTTTGCACTGTAGCGTCCTCTTCTAGTTCCGAGCCCTGATCGCCGTCGAACTAGAAGATTCGAACTCCATCAACCCGAGCCTCTATTGCGTACTAAAGCTCACCAGCGACCTCGGTCGAACCGTCTAAGGGAAGCAGACTCGGTGTGAGAATCGAGCGAGGCATCCTGTAGCTACCAAAAGTCCCCACATTAAACAAGGAGGGCATTCCCTCCGCTTCTGTTGTAATTTTGATTAATTAGTTTATAATAAGTCATTCTTATAAATACAAACGAAGTTCCCTATTTTCGGGAGATCAAAATTTACACCTACAACGGTCGAGCTACGTATTCGCACGAGGGTGACCCTAGCGTTCTCGTAGTTTGACAAGGTTCTCTCGATCGACGAGGTTCATCTGTCATATGAGGTTCGCCTGTTTGACGATGTTCGTTCGTTCGACGAGGTTTGTCTGTCATACGAGGTTCGCTTGTTTGACGAGGTTCGTCTGTCATACGAGGTTCGCCTGTTTGACGAAGTTCGCTCGATCGACGAGGTTCGTATGTCATACGAGGTTTGCCTGTTGACTATATACGCTCGTTCGACGAGGTTCGTCTGTCATACGAGGTTCGCCTGTTTGACGACGTTCGTTTGCCAAACGAGGTTCGTCTGATTTGCTGAGACGTGACCCTCGCGTTTTGTAGCAATGCGTCTATTGATTGTCTCGTATTCTAGAGTTAATGCATGCAGCAATTACAATAGCAATTAGAGCAATTTAATGCATTGATGTTACAATCTTAATTGTCATTAAGAATTGTAACGGTCACATTAATTGCTAGTGACTCTTGAGCTGGCCTTAGAGGCCTATAAATAGCGCCCTTAGACAGCTCTTGGTTGAAGCTGGAAAATCTCTCGCGAGCGTGGAATACGAACGTCGGAATACCCACGCGAGCTTGGAATACGAACGTCAGATTGACGTTGTTGTTGTGCTGTTGCTGCAGAAACTGTGCCCGCATGAACCCTAAAACCGAAAGGTTTTGAACCGTAAGGTTCTGAGATCGAGGAGATCTTTTGCCTTGACCGAAAGGTCTTATAGATCGAGGAGATCTTGACAGTACTGGGTTGGTGCACACCAGAGTACTGTACTGCTGTTCTTAGAAGCAGTTTGACATTGGAATCCTTGCACCGGAGTAGGCCAAATATTGCTTTAAGCATAACGTTTCACAAACACACAACAGTTAATTGAAAAGTTTAAAATAACAGCACATCATTCTTCACTGTTTAATTCCAGATTTAACCTCAATTTCCAACACTTACAGGTCCAAAGGTTTGAGGATGTCTTGTAACGGGTCAGATTCAAGCCCTGCACCCTCAGTTGTGGTGAGTTCGTTTGAGTTTTTGGTTGTGGGTTCTTGATCTATTTTGTCTAATTCCTTATATTTTCATTGAATTATTGGATTTTGCGTGTTCCTAGTGAAGATTGTGATTAAAGAGTTAATGGGTGATATTATTTTTGTTAGTTGGGAACTTCCTGGTGGGCATGAAACTGTGTAGTTGAGGTGTTTGTGAAAATGTGTTATACGAATTGGTGGGCATTTTTTGATAGGCAATGGGTAATCTGAATCATGAAGTTAATTGGAATTTTGATGGGCGTGATGAGATAGTCGATGATTGGAAAATTCAAAGAAGATTGTGTGGTTCTTCAAATCAAGAGGGTGGAGTATTTTCATCGACTGGCGATTTCTCTTACAAGTCTGAAAATTTATGCTTACAAATTTTCCGATGATTTAATCTGAGTTATGTGTTTAAAGCATCTCTAATATGCACAAGGATTTATTTCAACATTTGTCTTCTCGCCTGGAAAGTAATTATATAACCTTGGATGTATATTGAATAATATGTGCTCGTCGTTGAACCTCGGATTTATTGAATAATATTGAATAATACAACATGTCAGAGCCTTGGATGAATATTGAATAATATGTGCTCTATGTTGTTGGGTTTTTATTACAATTTGTGCTCGTCGTCGAGCTCCCGTGGATGTTTTTTATTAATAGGCTGATTCGAGCTTGTTTAGCTCCATTTTTTGGGTTTTGGGTTGCAATTTGTGCTCGTCGTTGAGCTCACGTGGCTGTTTTTATGTTAATAGGCTGATTCGAGCTTGTTTAGCTTTATGTTGTTGGGTTTAGCTCTATGTTGCTATTTGTGCTCTATATTATCATACAACATTTGTGGGCATTTGTTGGTTCTATATGTTGGTTGCTGGGTATTTTGTGCTCGGTTTTTGTGTGCGCATATTGGTTCTATATGTTGTTTTGCTGGGTATTTTGTGCTAGGTTTTTGTGTGCACATGTTGGTTCTCAAACAGGTATCTTTCAAGTCAAATCAGGTACGCAGTTCATAGCAATTGATTCATGTTATTTTAGGTTTCGTATGATTTCATTAATACAAACAGAAATTTATAATTCATTCGGGATATTATTATTTGTTCATGTTACATTCGAACTTTTCTATGACTAAGATTACCTCATATAATGAACACAAATAAATTTATATATAGTGGGGGCCCTACAAACTTCAAAACCAATCAAACACAAGAAAAGTGAGAAATGTCAAATCAACAAAAGTTTTTCCTTTTTTTTTCCATGCGAACCAAACACAAGAAAAATAAATACATTGGTTTCCCACTATTTTTATGTGCGAACCAAATCAAAACAATCTATTTCTTGAAAAAGTCTGAAAAACTCAAAACTTGTGTTTCTTTACATGAAATTGCATTTTCCTATATCTAGGAAATGAACCAAACAACCCCTAAAAACAAATTAGAAATTCAAATCGCTTTCAATATCTTTTTAAGATTATATTTCCTAACTAACTCATCCTCCACGTGCATGAGAGAAATTTTAGGAAAACAATCACAAAACATCCACCGAATATCCACACTTTAATGAAAATATTTAATAAAAATTTGTTATTATTTCTGTTTTTACATTTTTCCTTTTTTTTTCCTTCAAAGATTTCTTTTAGGTTGATACATTGAAAAGTCAGAAATTATGCTGGCTGTTTGTAACGGAGAAGTTATTTTTTGCCGATGTAAGTTTTCTTCGTGATTTGATTTTATTAAATAGTTGGTTAATAAAAAATGCATAAATTTTTTTACCAAAATTCTTTTTTTTTAAATGGAGAAAACTGTTAGCGGGGTAGCAATTTTGGCGGGACAGCAAGTAGCTAAATGAACGTCACATGACTGCCCTACTTGTAGCTGCATTAGTAGTAAAATATAGATAATATTTTAGCATCTATCTATTTGATTGGAATTTAAACATGTCAACTTCTTCATGTAACGAAACTTGTTGCGACACTTTCAAGTATTAATTTCTTCACAAACAATAAAACACAAGAAATATTTCATTTCACACTACTTCTCTAACACACTTTCGTTCAAGTCACAGATGCTTAAAGCTCCTCTTGCTCGTGAAAACAGAATTATTATTGGCATTTACTGAAATTATATACTATTCGTACCAAAATTAGCATTATTGTTCTAAGATACTACAAAAACACTACAATTTCACAGAACATTTAACGACTAGTAAATTGCACATATGAAAAGGAATAAAGAATCACAGGCTTTTTAGAAGATTATAGTGGCTACTTGCAGATACGTGAACACACAACATTTGCTTGCCTTAGACAATTTTTTAGCTAGCCGTCATCCACTGGGATTATCAAGTAACAATTAATCATCATAATCATTATCATTAATTATCCTCCTTCCTGTTATAATTTGGAGGATAAAATGTTAAGTTTGCAAGAGAGATTTTTATTTCCTTTACTTTCCTTTCAATCTTATTTCTAGAAAATTCTAAATCATGCTATGAAAATAGGATTTAAACACACATAATTAAAATTGAAAATTTTCAAGAAAAATGTTCATTTTCTTTCTTTATTTATTTATAGAACATTCTAAAATCATGAAATAATAACACACATAATTAAATTGCAATAACCTCTTTTATTTAATCACCCACTGTAATTACATTATCCTCAATCAGGAAAGTATTGAACTAAATTTTATTAATGATAGATTTAATTGATAAATAACAGTTTAAAGATATATTTTCTATGTAAAACTCCATAATAATATTGCATAATTAAATCAAACTATTCAATGAAAACATAAAACTAAACATATAACTAAATATTTTTGCATGTGCTAGTATTTATGAATACGAAACCAATAATAATAGCAATGAACAATCGTACTTAGCCCTCTGAACTTAATCAATCAAGATATCATAAATCAGGATATCATAATACTATCTCACAACCCAAAATCATAGCTTTTCAAGAACTGACCATGAAGAGAGAAATCGAGAAACACCAAAGCATTCATCCTCATCACCAAACATACTCTTTATTCGTACCAACATAAAGAATCTACACTGGCTTGAAAAGAAAACATCAAAAGGAAATAAAAATAAAATAAAAATAAAAATACAGAGACATGTTGCTGTGAATCAACTTTTTATCAATAAGCCACAACTCGAGAAAAGAAAAGCATCTAAATAAATCAAATCTATATCAAATGAGAAACACCAACCTTTAAGAAGGGGGGAAAAAGAGTACCATCCTAAGCCAATAAAACCACTACACTTTATATTACAACATACATTATCCTCAAAACCTCTCAACATTCAGGTGCAGAGTCCATCGCAGAGAGGCTCGCCCCAGATTCTGTGCAATGTCGTAAATAAGACTGCCTAGTCGAAGACCCAGCAATATTATTTGGACTGGAGACATAAGAGGGCATGAACCTCGAATTTATGGGTGAAGATTGGGGAAATCCCGAGGGAGAAGCATGAGATCGCTGATACGATGCATTACGAAGATCTATTGAACTTCTACTTATGCTTATTGCAGGGGAACGACTGTTGGATATCCGAGCATTGGGTAGATGGGCAATACTACTTGCAAGAGAATGAGTTCGGTTAGTGAAATGTGAGCGAGGTGGAGTTGGATTTATTTGAAGGGATGGGAGTATCTGTATAGCTGAAGATGTTGGTATAGAAGAATGGAAGGAGGAAAGGGGAGTTGAGGCAGCAGAAGAGAGTAAAGGAGTGCACTCCGAGGGTGGAGGGTTTCCATCGCTTGTCCTGGCATCTCGCTTGCATACAGGGCAGAATGTTCTCCAAGTAGTGAGCCAGGAATCAACACATATCGCATGAAATTCTGCAGGATAAATAAAATGTTACGTAAATTGCATTGTCCTAAATAGTTTAAGCAGAGATGCATTATTCTTTAATTAGAGAGGGGTGAGACACAATATGTTAACAAACTCCACCCGGCATGCAGCTTCTCAAGCCCAAGCACTCAATGTTGGTTTGTTCCGCTGGAACCCAAGCAATCTCTTCAAATATTGACAAGGTGAATTATGGAACTATGTTGCATTGAAATGGGAATGGGTACTGTTACGAGTGCTGATACGGGTACGAGACACACCAAATTTGTAAAAGGTCGGGTATGGGAAAATGCTTAAAACCATTGAATAGTACATATGTATTAAAATTGCAATTCCCATAATACTTTTATGTTTCTTCCATTATGTAGATCATAAATTGGAAAGGACTGATTTTTGAACTAGATACCCAAATAACCCTTTAAAATCATAGGTCTGAATTGTGTATAGGCTATAACAAATCCAATACATGTCCAAAGACTTCCAGATAGTGGATTTGCTTTGTAGGATATATGGCCAAAAAGTGTCTGATTAGTTTTAATTAAATCATGCATTATATAATTAGTATGTTGAAGAAGTGTCGGTGAGGGTACGGATGCGGATACATGTCTGGTATGGGTTCGGCATCCTGATAGAAGCACCCAGGTAACATAGGTTATGGACCTCTATTCCTTTGATTTCCTTAATGCAGCAACAAGGTGAACCAACTTTTGTCTTTTCCCCTTCCTTCATAGCCAGCACGATAGTCTAATTTTGGTTTAACATATCTTCTTTGGCATGTAGCATGGATTCAACAAGGTGAACCGACTTGTCCATTACTGGAGATAAACCAAGTGTGCAATGGTTGCAAAATTAAATTGAAGCATTAATATAAACCATGATTCCGATACCAACGATAAGGGGTTTGGGTAAGGTACAATTAGAGAGATGTATCCTATTATCCTATGCAGACCTAATCCGAAAAATCTCACATCTTATTTATATTTTAAACTAAACTCATCAGTATCCTCCAACAGATATCCATTATTCGACTGGACACAAAACAACCATCAACAGACTCTTCAAATAACAGTGAATTAGACTTCTGCAATAGAATCATATGGAGAAATTATCTGCTTTATAGGGCATGTGTGAGATATGTACTTATTGTATTATACACACGTATTGAATACCAGCACATACATAGTTCAATAGCAAAAGTCAGGACCCTTGATACAAGCTAGACTTGGAATTTCATACAAAAGGGTTGTTAATGGGAACCAAACAGTGATCACTGCGACATATATACCATACAAAGTATCCTCAGGTATCAAAGTGACCAAGAACGAATCTCAATTTTGAAATAAATCCAGGAAAAAACCATTGTCGGCATCCATATAACCACACTGACACATCCTTATGACATAGCTCATGGTATGAACTAAGGCATTGTTTATCATATCTCATTTAGTACTGGGGAAAGTTTACAAAACCCATTCATCTCCAGTTTGGCTCTATGCCTCTGTCCGTAAATTCATTTTTGCAAGTCCCCTTGCTGAGTTAACTCATTCCATAAATGCACACACTTAAAATCCAATTGATCAACACAATACTAAGTTGTATAACAAGTCCCCTTCCAATCCTTTCCACAGAACATTTTTCCAAGTCATAGGGACTGATGTGTTTTTGATAGCTGAAGACCTGGTCAACCTTCCCATGAACTTCTCACTTACGAGCTGTCCATAGCCAACCAATATAAAAAGGCTGGAACAGTCATCAACCGTTGCATGTGCTTTAGATGTTAACCAAGAAGAGAGATTTCTACCTGACAACCATCTTACCATGCTGATTTCACGGTAAGTCCTGTTTACTTGGTAAGCATAAGCTTAAAATGTTTCACTAATACCTCAAAAACTAGCTTTGCTTTCTAGCTTCTCTCGCAAGCTTTAGAATGTTTGGACTAAGGTTTTACATCAGCACCTTCGGTTTCCCACATAGTCAGCCTAGAAATTACTGACATTTCTTAGGTTAGTTCAACTCAGAGACACTCATAAGTTTCTGGTTCTTGAGGGGAAACAGCTTAAACAACAAGTGCTAAATGTACATCAAAGATAATCAAGAGTTAATCAATCTGATAATAGACTTCAAGCTACCAAAGCAAGCAAAAATAACAAATCAGCAATAGAACCAGGAGATAAAAAGAGTAACATAAAGGCAATTAGAGTCAAGAGACATACTATGCCGGCACGGCAATATCCTGAGCTTCTCTCCAACATTATAATCTTCTAGGCAAATAGCACATGTTGCTGATGTACAGTTATCCTCCAACACTGAAGTGAAGACTAGACTTGGCATTGCTTTCACTAATCGACTGCTCATCCCATGGAATTCTCGGATGTTGGATGGCCTAGGTTGCTCACGTCTAATGTGGTGTCTGCGCACAAAGAAACATGTTGCCAGCACAGCAGACATGGCAAGTAATGATATGAAAGATATGGCCATAATCGACCATGCCGAATTCTCAAAAGTCGGTATAATCCAAACTTCAATATCTGTGCATCCTGCATACTTCTTTAGTGTTTCTCCAGAGGTTTTTGAGACAAATACAGCATGTATGTGAATGCTACCTGGAGTACCTGACACTAGATCAATTTAGAAAGGTAAGGTGTATAGACACATATCAAAGGTTATATCTTTCTACAACATACACAATGTCCTGCAAAATATTTGGGTTATTTGCATATATGCCTCTTAAATCATGGGCATTTGCAAAAATACCCTTCAAATCTCAGTATTTGCAAAACTACCTCTCAAATCATCAATTTTGGAAAAGACAATTCCAAATCAACCAATCATCAACTTTGATACACTAATTTGTAACTGCAATGTAAAAAATATTAAGTACCAGTCAAATTTTTCTCATCAGGATGACGATTTTTTGGTTGTAGGGGGTATTTTCCCCCGAAATTGATGATTTGAGAGTGGTTTTGCAAATTCTAAGATTAGGGGGGTAGTTCTGCAAATACCCACGATTTAAGGCTTATATATGCAACTAATCCAAAATATTAAACTTATGCAGTAATCTATTGGGAGTAAGGTCCAAAAACATTGCAGAAATTTGTGTTTATCTTATGGAGATATGTAAAGAGTTGCAAAGTAGTGGAGTTTTCTTCAATTCATGAGAAATGGTTCAAGTTGAATAGCTTCAATAAACAAGAACCTAATAAAGTAATAGTCTACAGATGTTACATAAATTAGTTAAGCAGGTCTTGAATCCTGAACAATGGTATAAACAAATGAACCTGAAGTTGTTACATGGATTATATTGGCTAAAATACAAAACAGAAAACCTTCATCTGTGGCCTGCTTTTGAAATAACTCCTAGTAAGCATTAAATTAAGATTGACAACCCACTCGACCAATAAAATCTATAATTTGTCATCAAACTACTACGAAATTTCTGTTTTTAAGCACCAAAAATGCACACTACAAGAGTTCTTTCTTATCTGCTTATTACAAAGCACAAATGCTTCCTTGAGGCTTTCTCATCCATGTCTGGGTACGAAAACATGCAGCATTGTGTAGGTTTGGTCAGAATAATCCATAGGTAGAATTGTGTTACATGCTATGCATCCTTTTACGTTTTAGCCTTCTTGATTCTGACAGTCTGGAGCAACCAGACGGAACCTCTCTCATACACTAATACACCTGGCCTGCCCCAAAAAGAGGATGTAACAATATCCTTGCGCCCATGCCATATTTATGTCATGTACATACTTCTGCTTACTTTTGGTAGGCTGGTATAGATGCTTCATAATTATAGATATACACAAGGAATTTCGGCCAAGTGGAACATACTTTGGAAAGCATGCATAAACATATTTGATCAGTTGTCTGGCTTTAATATGCTTATCTAATTTAAGTATTTCCCAACTTCAGAAAGAACAGTGACAATTTGAAGCATACAACGCTTGAGGACTCAAGTAAAAGTAAAAGATACACTGGTGCAGTAAGACATTTCAATTATAATTCATTTAAAAAATGTCAAAATATAGTAAGATAAAACACTAAAAAGATATAAAGAACATAAGCATTGTGCATTCAACTCGAAAGGCTAGGAAGATTCCATAAGAACAAGAATTGTTACTTGAAACCAAGGGACCATGCGCTTCATTGTTATACACAATAGCAGCCTTGAATCCAGCTTTCTGTGCACTTCTAACTTTCTCATCAAATGTGCAACCTCCTCGTATAATTAATGCAAATGCAGAATCTGAACCTACCACAATTTTATTCTTTAATGGAGCACATGCATCAAGAGGTTCAGCCACATATAGGACGCCACATTCACCAGATCCTTTTATGGATGGAGCTGAAGAAACAGTGTGGAAATAATTACACAAATTCATGCATGTAATACCACAAAAATACATAAATATAAAGTAAATCAACCAGTTTTCTCGCCACTGTTTGATTACATGGAAATGAAAAAAAGAAAATTGCAGGTTGTAGAAATTATCCAAGAAAATTATAGAGTGCTCGTATTTCGTAACAAGATATAAGAGAAAATTATTTAACTTCTTTAAGTTAATTGTTTAAGATAAACAAACAACCATGGAAAAAGAAAATAAGACAACCTTCCACCAACCATATAACTTACTTGGACACATTGTCATGCCCTGGGCCGCAAGCCCATCCGCGTGACGCATGTCCTAAGAACCCACTGAGCGCAACATGTTGTTTTGCTCAATGCCACTTTGAGATGTTCAGGACTTGTTTTAGATATAATCCACCAAAAAGATAGGGTATCCTAGCCTTTTTTGTAATGAATTGTGCGCCATGAGGTTTGACAAAGTAAAAGAAAATTAGACCCCTTATGATTTCACAAAATTCAAGGTCAATTTTAATAACTCACCACCAACTCTATGTCCTTTTTGGTCATTTTGACAACAACAACAATGATAGATTATAATCTACTCATTTGCCAAAAACTATACTACTAAAAATGGATTACAATCCACTAAATTTACCAAACACTCTAGATTATAATCCACTTGGGTTATAATCAATTTGTGAATTACAATTCCAAAATCCCAAACATGCTCTAAAGTAGTGGGGCATCACCCAAGTGACTGATGTGTAAAGCATCTCAGAATGTAAACGAATGATGTAAAAGAGATCCAGGACCTGACGTGGCAACATGCACGAAACTCATGGAAGTGCCTCAAGTATATTTTATGCGATGATTGGACAAGCATTTGAAAAACCAGGCATTCCATTTGATAAGACATTTTTAACTGACATTGCAGATAGAGTACACCTCCCTGATATATTCATGTTAAGAGGCCAAGCATTCAATGGGTTAGTAGTGTAACTAGTAGTTTCATGATTGATGTGTCAGTCAATAAGAGAGACATCATTAATCAACTGCCATATATCAGAGACATAAAGAGGCAACTCCACTATGAGTGATAAATCTCATCCTATAGGTAATTGTTCCGTCACAATCCCTACCAAGAATACCTACTTGGTTAGTACAAGTAGATTCAAAACCAGGCAAGTGCTTTGCTATATCAAATTTAAGCAATGCCTCAACTTGCATCCCATCATTACATACGTCCCTTTTTTTGTTTTCTTTTTTGAGTATAAGCATCCTTTAGTCTTTGAACAACAAAATGGCAGCAGCTTAACAACAAAAGAGATATATGAAAAAGAAAAAAATTTAGCATTATGACGACGGACAAAAATGATTATCTCAGGGATACAAGCATACACCATTAGGTGACTTTGGGAAGAAATAAGCTAACTTGGAATATTTTTTACCAATCTCATGAATAAGACGACCACCCACCAATAAGCAGAAAAAACAACCAGTATTGCACAAAACCTGATTGAAAAAGTTATATCAGATTTTAGATGTTCAAGGACCCAATTGCCAAATTCCTCTTATAGTGCTTGAATCTATAAGGAACCCATTCCTTCGTCTGCCCAATAATCTCGTACAGAAGATCATCAACCTTGGGCACTTAAAAAAGAAAACCATACCAAACAGAAAGGGTAGTTTAAAACATTTGAACTGGAGAGTCTACTTGGTCAGATTTAAATCATTGACTTTATTTTGTTATTTTCCTACTTCAAGTAAAAGATATTCATGCTTTGATGCGTTTTCTATGTGGCAAATTTTACAAAACCCCCAATATGGTTGGGCGTTTTTCACTTAACCACCAAAAAAATTTGGAAGTTTCACTTAATCCTACTAAGTTGAAAAAAATCCAGAAACCACCAAAAAATGTTGCATAAAATAGCATCGATTTAGAGTTTTCACAGATGGATTCACTAAAAGCAGACGCTGACAATTGGGCATTTTCTAATCTGGAGCAAACGAGAGCAGGAGAAGAAGAAAGAAGATGGAAAAGCAATTTTAGGGTGAAAAATGCAAAAGAGGACATAAAGATTTTAAAAAAAAAATTAAGTAGGACTATTTTGCTCTTTTGATGGCACACAATTTACATGAGCACAATTCAGAACTAACGATATTAGTTTTGGGCTTTTTCTGTCAAAACTTATTGGTGGCTGAGTGAAAATTTCAAACTTTTTGGGATCAAGTGAAAAACCAAACTTATTGGGCGTTTTGTTGTATATACACAGATGTATATCAGCATTTGTACACATACTTGGTCATCTAACAATCTCCATTACACCAAAATACTAAATTTCAAAGTCTTTCTTTATAAGACCTTTCTGCTTTAACATCAGCTAAATTCTTCTTCTTTTTGACAAACTATACATCATAGAAATCTCAAAAACAATGTTAATTTGGTTCACTGCATTATTGAGTGGCTGAAGTGAGAGTGGCCGAAGTGAGTATTGCCTTCCATACAACAAATACAAGATGCATGCTGAATGTACCAACTTTTGAGTTAGCGCTACCTATTTCCCGTCATTGTTATTCAACCCATAGAACTTACTATGAAAGACTAAAGTGAGCTTCAAACATAAACTAAGCAAGGATTATTCATGTCTTCACATTGAAAAAAATGAGCTCAACAATAAAACAACTTCGAGTTCAAATAAAACAGTTCAAAGCAAAAGGCTAATCTGATCTATAACACACTTCAAGAAATAACACTCGCTCATACGATGTATACGTGATAATTCCTAAGCCACTCCTCTAAACAAAAAAAAATTAACCCAACTGAATATATTCATATAACTACACATAGATCACATGTCTTACCGAAATTCGCCTCGATGTCGTCAAAAGATAAAGAAACGTTCTTCCCAATCAAAACAACATTCCCCGAAGCCAGCCCAGCCATTTCCCCCAAGAAAACCCACACAAGAAGCACAATCCACGAACCCATCGCCGACTATATATACGCTTAGTCAGTAATTTCAACAAGCACCTTATTACGCTTCTGTTGACTTACACGATCATACTACTGGAATCCTGCAAAACACGAGGATCAATCGAAATGGGTATCTCTAAAAACTCGAAAAGGTCAGATCTGAGAGCACAAAAAAGATAAAAATCGTTACTTGGGTAGGAGTAAAATTGGAGCAAACCGAGACCGCTATAGAGATAGAGACATCAGCTGCCATGAGAAGTAGATTTGAGATGAAGCAGAGACGGAGGAAGGCGTCGTGGGAGAGTCGAGGTTATTAGAGGCTTGGGAAGGGGCGAATACGAGAGGTGAGCTTCGAGCGACTGTCGCCCCTAGAATCATCTATTGATTATTGTGTTTGATGATAGACATGTATAAAAAGAGATGGCGACGGCTGAGAAGGGGATAAAATAAATTCAGGGTTTTCGACTTTAATCTTTCACCTTTTCAATATTTTTAATTAGACCATCAAATCCTTAAAATTGCTCTGAGATCTCCCATTCTGATAGGATAAATTATTAAAATCGCTATTAGAAGGTCCAGATTAACACCTCTAATCAAGAATAGCAAAGTCAAAGACACAAGCAAGGGGGGCTTAATAGTAATTTCAGTGATATGAGAGAGAGAGACTAATTTTCAAAGATGTAAGACTATCTCCAGCGGGTGGGTTTTGGGGGGTTTTTTTGCTCCAGCAGGTGGGCTTTTGGGGGGTGAAATGGAAAATCGGTTTCGGATGGGTGAAAATTTCACCTCGGGCTTTTGGGGGGTGAAATTAATTGAGCTCATGTATCAAGCCATGTGTCAAGGCTTGATTGGTTGGAGTTTTTTGTTTTACTCCTAATTTTTAAATGATATTTTGGGAGATAAATACTAGGAATTAATTTATAATTTTTATATCAATAATTTTTATTTTTTCACCTCTATAAATAGAGATTAGTCTTGTGTAATTTGGACACCAAAAAAAATCTGAGTTTTCAACACCTTATATCAATTAATAATATATATTATTTATATAAATATTAAAAAATTATAATTATAAATAAATGAGTTATATTAGTAATAATAATAGTAGTAGTAGTAATATATATGAAATAAGAAAAAGAAATTAATAAATAAGGTGGGGTATATATGTTGGAGTGATGGGGTTAGTGGGTCCCAAATAAAGTAAAAATCTTTTGAAAAAACTCCTGCTGTAGAGATGATAGAAAATAAAGATTGTTGAATTATGTGGAGGGGGAATAAAGTGATGTGGCAGGAGAGAGAATGTTAAAATTTTGACTCATGCTGGAGATAGTCTAAGGGAGTGATATCTAAAAAGCCTTAAATAAATATAAGATGTTGAAATTTTGCACTACCCTACTCTCAAGTATGAAAGTTTGTAGTGGATGAGGCTAAGCCGGTTTATTTTATCCGCTCGCTCCAATTTTTGGAATAGTTATAAGATTACTTACCTTTTGGATGGGAATAAAGCTCTCCATCTTGTTTTATAAGCATGTAAAATACCTATATGAACTAGTTTAGCTATTAATTGGAGGGGGAAAAAACTAGTTTAACCGTTCCTATTGTATAATTTTCTATTTTGCATCAATATTTCAATTTTAGGTGTTTTTATTTACTTTACATAAAACTATTATATTTTAGGGGTTTGGCTTTTGACCCAATGGTTTACTCTGTTTTAACTTTAAACCCAACTAATATTTTTGGTACCTTTAAATCCAATCATCTTTATGTAGGATAAATTTTCAAAACCATCCGGTTTTGAAATTTATTCCCAAAAAAGACCATTTTCAACTTTAATTACAAAAACAGACCCAGTTGAATGAAACTGGGTCTGTTTTTGAAAAAAAAATTTAAACTTCACGGGAGTTGAACTCCCGTGAAGTTTTTTCTCATAACAAAACTTCACGGGAGTTCAACTCCCGTGAAGTTTGAATTTTTTTTTTTCAAAAACAGACCCAGTTTCATCCAACTGGGTCTGTTTTTGTAATTAAAGTTGAAATGTGTCGTTTTTTATAAATAAATTTTAAAAAGGGATGGTTTTGAAAATTTGTCCTCTTTATGTATTTGCCTTTAAATCCAGATAGCATAATTTAGTGTATATTGTATTGTACTCATACTATCCTTATGTATTTGCATTTAAATCTAAGTAGTATAATTTAGTGTATATTGTACATATACTATCATGTGATAGAAACCCCAAAATACCCCTCAATATCCACAAAACTCTCTCTGCTCTAAACCTTCTCCCTCTCTCCTCTCGTCTATTCTCTCTTTTGGTCTCTCTTTCTACAACTCATCAATAAAAGATCTCAACTCAAGAAAAAAATTGTACCCTAAAAATCTCTCAAATTCCTAGCTAAATTGATCCCCCAAGAAAATTTCAAACCCCTTTTTCTCTCCTCTTTCAATCTGTCTACCATAAGGTGAATTTGGTCGAAAATCACCCCTCAATCTGAGCCTTAACTGAAAACCAGCCCTAATTGTCGTTGAGCTCCTCTATCGCATCTCTTCCACTCCCATCCTTAACTCCACCGTAACGCCGACATCTACCATAACTCAAGCGCCTCCTACTCATGCTGTTGTCTCCTCTTCCAGCTCTTTGGCTCTTTGCCTGACCATTGTTGCCTCCTCCAGATCCTCAGCTCCAGCGTCTCCTCCTCTAGTGCTTCACTTAACATCTGTTGCCTCCTTCTCTGTAGGTAATCTCCCTTCTCTCCTAAAAACCTTATTCCTATGTTAAGTAATATTGGGTTTTTTTTTTGTTTTAGGGTTTTTTCGGGTTTTAGTTTCAATTACAACTAATGATCAGCTTAAACTAGTTAATCAATACGGCTATGTTTGGATTAGGGACTTTTTTAATCTCATGATTAATTTAACTCACTATAGTCCTTGGATATAATAGTCTAGAGGACTATAGTGATTTGTATTTTTAATGATATGTTTGATTCATATTGTTGTTAACACCTCTAATACCTATTTCATATTTGGGGACTTGTCATTATAAGAAGGTATAAGATTAGAACATAATAGTAAAAATCTGCAATGTTCTACATATTAGCGAAGTATTTTTAGAATTTTCTTAGTAATTTTTAGATTTTTAGGGGATTGTTTATATATCATATTTCTAAAGGTGATGTTTGTAATTTTCATATTCTTTTTCATTTTTTTGTTATTTTCTAAACTTTAAAGGGGTTGTTTGCAAAATTTGAAATTCTTAGGATGTGTTTGTAACTTTTGAAATTCAGAGGGTTGTTTGTAATTTTCAATCTTTTTATATTTGTAATTTTTAAATTTTCGAAGGGTTGTTTGTTATTTTTAAGTTTTCAAGTGTTGATTAAAATTTGCAAATTTTTTCAAGGGTCATTGCAATTTAGTTTTTTTAGGGAGCTATTTATAATTTTTTATTTTTACTTCTTTGTTTGTCGTTTTTGGATTTTTCAAGTGGTTGCTTCTAATTTTCATATTATGGGGTTGTTTGTAATTTTAAATTTCAGCCTAAGAATTTCAAATATCTATCCAGATTTGCCTGATAAAATAGAACAAATACAAATACAATGTTAACTGTATACATGTTGTGTCTGACGCAACAATCACCCTAGTGCATGTCCTAGACAAAATATATGAACGAACAAAGGAGAGGAGGGAAGAGAAATACAGTGCAATCTAGCACACTTATGCCGTTATGATTGGCCTACTGTTGAAGCTTCCACCTTAAGGCTTAAGCCAGTCATGTAGGCCTCTTGGGCTAGTCAGCTACTCCATCTTCCATTGATTATCTGCTTATTGCATATACAAGAACGTGCATGCTATACAGCAGGGTACTTTTGAGAAATGAACCCACTAAGAACCAATATGTTGCTATTTGTTTTCTTCCTTCATTTGAAGCTTGTCCTTGTTCTATTTGATGTTTCTATAAAAAAGAATAACATGACTTTAAAACTAATATAGCATATGTGGTATTTACTTAAGTTACATGAATTTTAAATAATTATTTCTTTAGCTATTCAGATGTACTTGTCAAGCTTGGACATACCACTTTCCATTAACAAGTCATTTTATTAGTTATAATTATAGTTCCTATGTCACATGTGCTTTGAAAGGAAAATGAGTTTGTTGTGAGGGTGTTTTTATATATGATCCACGTTGACCAATAATTGCATAAATAAATACTTTCCGAATGACACCATATATAGGTTAACTTCTTTGCATTAGAATGACCCTATATCTGAACATACGAGTCTCTACATAAAATTAAGCATTTCTTTGTGTTTAGTTTTTGAAGAGGTTGAAATATTTTTTAGGAAATTTTAGTACATTGCTTGAAATGGCGCCAAATAAAGATTGGATGGACCTAGTGTTGGCCTTCTTGTTTTGATGATGTTTAACAAACAATTTACTTCTAATGTTGTTTGTCTAGTATTTGTGTTTTCGTATTTTTTCTAGGCAAACAACGTAGTTGGAGGTTGGATGGATTGAGCCTATACGATCATATCAAGAGGAGGTTGGCGAAATAGTGGAGTGAAGCAATGCACATTCAAGTCAAGATCCAAGTTCAAGCTTCATCCGTAAGATTACCAAGAAGAGCTTCATCGAAGATCAAGATAGCTTGGGTAATTTAGTTTTAGGTTTATACTTGTGTGTAGATACTTTAAGCTCATATATTAATCACACACACGTATTTGTTGATTTTGTTGAAATATAGGTGTTTTTATGAAAATATTGTTTTATTTGTTTATAGACTTTAATATTAGTTTATACATACTTTATTAAGTCTATAAAATCACTTTATAAAGTTTCAAAACATGGTTTAGTCAAATGACAAAAACAAGTGTGTTTACATTTATATGTTTTGGACTATTTTGCAAAATAATGATATTTGATAAATGTGAAGTGCAGTTCTAAAAATTCTTTTTGTAACATGTTCATTAACATGTTTATAAATATTCTCCAAAGTTTTACATTTTTTGGAATTTATTTGCTATTTTTAAAGGCACTTCAAAAATCAGTTTTTCTATTCAAAACAGGCTGATACAGTGTTATCAGTCGACTGATGGAAGTTATCAGTCGACTGATGATACAGTGTTATCAGTCGACTGATGGAAGTTATCAGTCGACTGATAAAAATGCCTGGAATCTTTATTTTTCTTTCTGCATTGTTTCAGTCGATGGATGTGCCGACCGATGTCATCGGTCGACTGATGTGTCGACCAATGAGGTGTTTTTCAGTTTTTTTAGTTTTGCAGTTTTTAACTAGTTTACTAAATAATTTATTTCTCTCAAATGGAAAGTGATAATCATGAAATTCTTTTTGTAACATGTTCATCTACATGTCTATAATCTTCCCTCAAAATTTAATGATTTTTGGATATGTTTTACTG